CACCCAGAGTGGAGCCTACTTTTAAAAAAAGTCTATCAAATGTATACTAAAAGTATACAAGTTGTTTAATTTGGATTATCTTTTTTAAAAAAATATTTTATTTATTTGACAGAGACACAAAGAGAGAGGGAACACAAGCAGGGGGAGTGAGAGAGGGAGAAGCAGGCTTCCCGCTGAGCAGGGAGCCTGATGCAGGGTTTGATCCCAGAACCCTAAGATCATGACCTGAGCTGAAGGCAGACGCTTAACGACTGAGCCACCCAGACACCCCAGTTTGGATTATCTTTTAAAAGGGTTGTTGGAGGGGTGTCTGGGTGGCTCAGTCGGTTAAGCGTCTGCTTTCAACTCAGGTCATGATCCCAGTGTCTTGGGATCGAGCCCTGTGTCTGGCTCTGGGCTCGGCATGGTGTCTGCTTCTCCCTCTGCCTCTGCCCCTCCCTCTGTTCATGTTCTCTCTCTCTCAGATAATAAAATATTAAAAAAATAAAAAGGTTGTTGGATTCTTAGGCCAGCCTTTGATAAACTCTCTTTTACCTATAATATAGCCTAACTGTGCAGCCTAAATTGTCTAGAATTTATATTCAAAATGTATTTTAAAAATACACATTGTTCGCTTTCTTATTTAGTCATCCTAGGGATGGAAAACCTTCTGAGGATTTTGGGGGATGTAGATAATAATGGCAACTTCCCAGAAGGAGATCTAGGAAAGCATGTGTGTGTGCGCATGCATGTGTGGTGTCCAGCTCACATATACATATATACACAAAAGTTTATTTGAACAAGGGAGGAGTTAAAACAAAGTCTTACCAAGAAATAAAATTGCACAAGACACTGAGTAACTAAACCTACACTAGTTGTTTTGAGCGCTTTGAAAATGGATGGTACATACTGTGGCCTTCAAAGCACTTGTCTTATTTTACAGAATTGAAGCTCAAACCGTGGAATGGTATCTAGGGAGGAAAAGCATATTTGGAATAACATATTTAGATAAGTATTTGAGGACTGTTTTAATGTGGACAATGTCTCTGATACAGCATAAATTTTATATGAGAAATGAAAATGATGGTACTTTCGAATAGATCAACCGAAGGTTAACCGAGAAACATACAGAATTGTTTTGGGTTAGAAGGGAATATGAGAAGCGACTTGGCCTTTAGGTTTTTTGGAAAAGACTTAGATTTGGTTTGGCCTTTGGTTTCTCTAAAGAGCTTGTAGTGAAAAGCAGGGGTTGAGATCCTGTTCTTTTACATATTTAATGTTGAAAATAGCAAAAGCACCCAGCAGGATGAATTTGGGGTGTGGATGAGTATTTAACACAAGGCCATAAGGAGAGAGGGTTAAAATTAAGTAATTTGCACTGTATAGTATCTGTTTTCATATCTGAAGTCTCACTGAAAGGTATTAGATGCATTTGGAGAGGTACAGATAATTTGTGTATTTCATGTTTTTGGTTTTCAGAATGCTCAGGGTTAAGCTAACATTTTTTTTTTTTTTTAAGATTTTATTTATTTGACAGAGAGAGACAGCAAGAGTGGGAACACAAGCAGGGGGAATGGGAGAGGGAGAAGCAGGCTTCCCGCCGAGCAGGGAGCCCGATGTGGGACTCGATCCCAGGACCCTGGGATCATGACCTGAGCTGAAGGCAGACGCTTAACGATTGAGCCACCCCAGGCACCCCTTAAGCTAACATTTTTGACATGGGTACAAATTAACTGAATTTTAAGTATGGCTGTGAGAGATTATGGCAGTGATGAGACAGATATTACAAAACAGTTTTAGTCACTGATAAGATGAATTTGCTGCACTGTTATCTATAGCATTAAAATATAGACATTCCAATTATTTTTCCATTTTGAATGTCTGCTTTAATTAAGCCAGTTTTGGTGGTACACTATTTAAAGTGAAATAAGTAGACCATTCCTATGTCCTGGCTAATGCAGATTGAATGTGAAGATAGGGCTGCCTCAGGACTCCGTATTCAAAATGTAGTTTGAAATCTGATTTATTTAGCCTCTCTTTTGGCCATTCATTCACTCTGCGCCTTCTGAGATCACCAGCTAAAGCCTTGATTTTCACACTTCCATAGAAAATTTTATTTTATATTTTGAAAGAAAGTGTGGAAAATTATTACATTTTGCTTTGGTAAGACAGATGTTCTAATTTAAATCATTCTGGGAAAACTTAGTTCTTAATACTCGATTTTCGTCTTACGACACTATATCAACGTGTATGTTTGTGTGTTGAATTGTGAGGTTAGCGCAGGTTGTGTAACATCAGTATGTCGTCATTGTGAGTACAAAATTTCCTTGACTGGTGAAAGTAACACATCTAAAATTCCATGAAATTGTGAATTTTGAGCAGAACTGTTTGGCCTACACATACTTTCATTCAGGTGAGATCAGTTCCTGGCAAATTCCTATCAATCTCTCAGAGCTGAGTTTCTCTGTAGAAGGGCTTTGTTAAAGCCCATCGCAGACCCGTTGAGATGCTCCCTCCTCTCAGTGCCTTGTGTGTCCAGTTAGGATGTCTGCTGCATGCGTTCTAATCTTTGTTCAGCCTGTCTCCTTCAGTGAATTGCTCATTTCTCCAGGACAGGCTGTTCATTTTCCTCCAGTGCCTGGCGCACTGCACATACTAGACATGAAGGAAGGAGGGCAAAGACTGCACGCAGCCTTGGGCTGGGGTGTCAGCAGGAGGAAGGACTGCCAGTTCTTGTAGCTTCCCTCGCTTGGGTTTGGGGCCTGTGCTTCTGGCCCACCTCCCAGCTCCCATTCGTGCCTTCATTGCTTACCTTCTAACGACTGCTCTCACCTCTGTGATGAGGCTTTCCTTCCCAAACCCGGCACTTCCCTTTTAGTCATCGAGTGTAGAAAAAGCTTTTAGCCCTTGCCTGTTGGACACCTGGCTTGCATTCGGCGTGCCTAGTTTGTTGCGACCCATGAGTTCCTCCTTTCCCATGACCCCAGACTCTCTAGAATCTTTTTTTCTGACCGTCCTTTTGGCTTCGCTGCGGGCCCCTCCTTCCCCTTCTCCCGAAAACGGCGACATTCTCTACAGTTTTGTCCTCTACACATTGTTCTTTTTTGATGTATTCTTCCTGGATAGAGTTCTGGAGTTTTTATATGCTTCCTGTTGATTAAATCATCCAGTATTTGTTGAACATTTTATTATATGCCAGGCGTACTATTTGACTTATGTCCTGGAGATGCAGTAGTGAGTAAAAGAGAAGAATCGCCACCCTTCAGGGAGCATATATCCTCTATGTGCTGACTTTTCCCTATTTATCGTTCTAGATCAGCACTTACTCCCCAAACATATGGGTCCCTTCCTTCTAGATGTTTTCAGCTGGATTTCCTATAGGAACCTCAGATTTCCTCTATGTAGGACCCTGAAGGCTCCCTCTGGCACATGGGCAAGAGGGTCGAGCTGCTTCTACTTCTGCATATCTGTCTCAGTTGGTCTCTCACCATCTATTGAGCCTCCACTGACTCCTGTCTTCTTCCATCGCTCTGTCTCCAAGTTGCGTTGTGTTTCCACCATTACTTGAATCTGGGCTTGCTCTCTCCCACCACGCCACCAGTTCAGGACCTCAGTTTATCTGCTGGCTGTGGCACCCGTCCTGGCTCCAGGGGCCACCGGTTCAGGACCTCAGCTTACCTTGCTGGCTGCAGCACCCGCCCTGGCTCCAGGCAGCAGCTCGAGAGCAGGCTTTCCAAAAGCTGGACCCGACTACAGCTCTCTGTCAAAAGCACCCAGTGGTTCACCCCAGGATGCAATCTGAAGCCTTTTAAGAGGACGTGCAGGGCTCATGCACGTACTGGCTTCTGCCTGCTTCACCTCCTTCTCTGCAAATTCTTCCTTCATTTGGATCTGAACTCCTTATGTCTCCTCATACACATCAGGCAGCTCACCTCCCTTGAGCCTCTGCTTTTTGCTTTCTGCTCTGTGGTACTCTGTGCCCTGTCCCTTCCCAGCTCGAGCCTGGCGCTTTCTCATTTAATCTGCTAATCTTTAAGCCTTAGAATCTGGCATACAGTAGGGATCAATATATGGATTTGGAAGGAAGGAAGGAAGGAAGGAAGGAAGGAAGGAAGGAAGGAAGGAAGGAGGGATCTGTTGGATGAATGCTGCAGGCTTTGTAGCACCGTGGGGAGGGACTTCCCCCACCACTGCTTTGCTCCTTTGAAGCACCCAGGGCAAGAAAGCCCCAGCAGAGGCTCTAGTTCTGGCTCTCCTGGATGGCCTTGGCCCTGAGGCCCATGGGCTGACTCACTAAATCCAAAATAAAAGTCAGAGTTTAGTTTTGAACTGGTTATGTTTGGTAAGATACTGACATAGGGAAGGTGGCTTGTGACTCATAGTCTGGGTACCTATTCATGTGCACTAGTGATCTTTGAAAATTTTTACCCTAGACATTCTGTATTATCTAAAATCTCCCCTTTCACTTTCTAACGAGCACTCAGATGCATTAATGTTTGATCAGGAGTTGCAGACTCAGGTCCAAATTAAAGTAGTTGTTCTAAGAATACTTTGAAGTCAAAAAGCATTGCTAACCACTCAGTATACTTTATTACTAGTAAGCTAAAAGGAGCTGGGTGAGATTAACTATCATGCTCATTTCCTATATGTGTAGTAGAATTTTAGATGCAGATGTTTTCTCTCTGCAAACTCTTCCCTTCTCTTGTTTACACTGGATCCCTCGTAATTGTTAAAACCTTCCTAAAAGTAAACAATAAATGTCTTGTAGCCATCTAGGCTTTTTTCCTAAACGTTCTTCTGGGTTTTTATTTGCCAGCTTTTTTTTTTTTTTAATTAAATAATTGACGTGCAACATACTAGTTTTAGGTGTTACAACATAATGATTTGGTATTTGTATATATTATGTATTTTTAATATTGTCAAAAGTAAGGATATAGTTGTGTTTTTAATGTATATGAAATAAAATTTCTGCCTTTGTAATAAATAATGACTTAATCTGTGTTTTGTTTATTTCTTCCCAGGGCAGCCCAATGGATCCTATGGTGATGAAGAGACCTCAGTTGTATGGGATGGGCAGTAACCCTCATTCTCAGCCTCAGCAGAGCAGCCCTTACCCAGGAGGCTCCTACGGCCCCCCAGGCCCACAGCGGTATCCAATCAGCATCCAGGGTCGGACCCCAGGGGCCATGGGAGGAATGCAGTACCCACAGCAGCAGGTTTGTGCTGGTTTTAATCCCACCCCCCTTCAAATTGGTGATGAAGTTTTGTCTTTGTTGCTTACTGTCTACCTAAGATTGGTACTGAGAGAATTAGGGGGGATTTCACTGATTTTCTTTTTTCTTTTAATTTTCATAGTTTTTTCAAGTAACCACATGTGCAGTTTCCTTTTCTTTCAAAGAAGGAAAAGTGATGGGGCACCTGGGTGGCTCAGTTGGGTTAAGCCTCCGACTCTTCCATCTCGGCTCAGGTCTTGGTCTCGGGATGGTGACTTCTGCCCAAGTTGGGCCCCACGCTGGGCATGGAGCTTGCTTAAAAAAAGAGCAGGGTGGGGGGTGGTGTGCCTGGTAGCTCAGTCGGCTAAGCACTGGAGTCTTGATTTCTGCTCAGGTTGTGATCTCAGGGTCATGAGATGGAGCCCTGCCTGGGGTCCCAGCACGGAGCCTGCTTAAGATTCTCTCTCTCCCAGTCCCTCTGTTGTCCCCTGCCCACCCTCACGTGTGCACACACACGCACTTTCTCTTTAAAAAAAAACAAAAACAAAAATGGAAAAGTGAGCTTCCTAGAAAAAAGTGGACAAAAATACCTGTTTGGTAGAGGGCTGTTACTGTGTTATTGGCTGTATTTGAAAGATAGGCACTGTTATCATTTTGCACCAAGTTATATAGATCTAAACCCCTGAAGTGAACTTGGCTTTCTAACATTTCTCATGTCAGACTGGCAGATTTTGAACTTTGAGTAGACTTCGTAAGGTGAAGTTTTAATTATTTAAAAAATAAATAACCATGAATGGCATCGACTTTGAGAGAAATTTTTTATTCTCCCAAAAAGTTATTTTGCATTTATTTCTTAACATATTCATTCCATATAAGAGCATTTGGTATATATCTGTTTTCTTAGATTTGGATGGGTTTTGTATTTTTACTTAAAACACAAGAAGACTTCTCTTCCTTTTAAAAACACAGTATTTTTCTTCTTTTTCTCTAGAATCAAATAGTTGGAGTTGCCTTAAATGACCACCTACTTTCTAGCTGTAGTAAACCTGGTCTCTTGGATACTGGAGAGTAGATCCTTGTTATGTTGGCCTGAGGAAGCATGAAATTAGGAAAAGTCTAAATTAGATTCAGACTCGTTAGGGTGTTTAGTCACTAGATACACCAGAAAGCCTTATTTATAAGTTCCCACACCGTGTCTTTAACCCTGGGGGTGCATTAGGCTGATGCTGTGTACATTTTACTGCCTCCTCGATAGGTTCTTCCATAACATTGCCAGTAACCTGTTCCAGGGTTTCATGTAACTTCCTCTCTGGAAATTCTTCCCTATGTTTGACCAAAAATCATCTGTGGGGAAAAAAACCATTGGATTCGACTTCTGTTCTCTTTAAAGTGGATGTGGAGAATGGTACACTCTTAAGTGCGCCAGAGCAGTGTTGATGAAGTTGCATCTGAGCCTTTTCTTTTATAGACTGGATATTGTTTTTCCTCTTTATCTTTTGTCCCTCCTTGGGTGATATTTTTATTTTAAGGTGGTTATAGGGAAAGATAGAAGTAGCTCAGCCTTTGAGTCCCAGCTGTTGGTTCCCTAAACAGCCTTTGTTACTGTCAGTAGTTCTTACTCTCCTTTATTAAATTGGCTGCCCAGAATTCTCTGTCACTTGCACACTTAATTGCGCTGTTAATTTTTTTCAACGTGATTCCTTTCTTCCAGCAACATTTTGCTGCCTAGAGTAAAACCTCTTTAGCTGAGGTTACTAATTGTGAGGGGGAAATAATTCGTAAATGATTGAAAAGTAAGATGTGATTCTGTCTTCCTTCTTCTAGTTTTAATCTAATTTGCCCTTAGTTGAGGGGAAGAAGGCCCAGGCAGCTAGCTGCCAAAATCCCAATTTTCCTCTTTAGCTGATTTCCTTTGGGGCCTGATGGTTCTGTATGATAACCCTGGCCACAGGAAGAGAGTACAGGCAGCAGGGAAGAAGTAGCAGGACTAGTGGAAAGAAGTAGATGCTAATCACTCCTTGTTTTTCTGCATCTTCTTTTTTCCCCCACTATATTTTCCTGATGTCACATTGGAAAGTCATTTCGAAAGGTGGTATTCGTGGCAAACTACCAGATGCTCCTTTATCTTTTTCTCTGAATGAGTTCAAGTCTTACAAGGTTTCCACATTGGCATAGTTTGCAATCCCAAAGTAGAAATCCAACAAATGGAAAGAGTGTGTAAAGAATGATTTGCCCAGGGGGCGCCTGGATGGTTCAATTGGTTAAGTGTCTGGCTTTGGCTCAGGTTATGATCTCAGGGTCCTGGGATCGAGCCCCAGGTCAGGCTCTAGCTCCACAAGGAATCTGCTTGAGGATTCTCTCTCTTCCTCTTCCTCTGGCCTTCCCCTCACGCGTGTGCACACATGCTCGCTCTCTCTCAAATGAATAAATAAAATCTTTAAAAAAAAAGAGAGAGAGAATGATTACCCAGGAATATTTTTTTCATTATTTTCTTCCCCACATGTGTAAGGGTAAAAGTAGAGGACATACACAAATACACAAGAGTGGCCTTAATTTTCTTAGGTTCTTGGTGTTTGTTAATTCCTGTGGCTCTTATATAGTTTTGAAATCCAGTAACTCTTGGATTTATTTGAAGGGACAAATTGATGAAGATAACTCGCCAAGTATTTCAGCAAATTTTTAATTAATATTTTAGATTAGGTATTTTACTGCTAACCAGAAGAAATGCCTAATTCTAATTAAGGACAGATCTTTCTGATAATGAAAGGAAAATAGTATATCTGGTAAGAAACTGAAGGCCCTGGCCGTAAAATGTCAAACTTTCATATTGAGTTCATCATAATCGAGGGTTCTATGAGACTGAAGTGCTACCTACTGCGCTAACGAGGCACCTTATAATCGAGAGTTCTAAATAATCTCTATTGCTTTTTCAACCTTTCATTTAGTTATAATATAGTCTAAAATATAGTATCTTGCTTAGATAACTAAAAGGCTAAAAATAGCTGTGAATGCACTTTTGAATGTGTGTAACATTTTAAAGGGGATGCAACTTTTATAATACCAAATTCATGTGATCAGTTAGGTGTAGGCTAATTAATAGCCTTGAAATGGAAAAAAAAAATAGTTAAGAAGGTTTTGGGTAAAGGTTATTAGAGCACATTTACTTTGTTAGGTTTAGCCTGTGCTCTTTGGTGAGGAATTCTCAGTGAATTGCTTTGTTTGTAAATTTTGGGTAATTATGAATTTGTCCACAGACAAGGTCCTGGCACAGTGATTGGCTGCTGGTCCTATCTGTTTTCTCCTAGTATTAATGTAATTGGCTGAGCATTTTTGTAATCATGGCTGCTAATGTTTCTCAGGGAAAAACTTGAAAAATAATGATGACATTGAGTTTTTATTGAGTGGACATCACCACCTAGGCATGACTTTGCTTTGGATAGCCTCCAAAGCTTTCTGTGTTTGGTTTGTGAACCTCTAATGAGCTGAATCCAGTTCATTTAATATTGCTCATATATTTCTGCAAAGGATTAAAATGCAGGAATTCAAGTTTGTAAATTGAGTTGCCCACTTACCAGCTGAGTGGTAAGTTGTCTTTGGCTCAGGGGTCACAGTTTGATTCCTGGCTAGCATTCCACTCCTGAGATGGGAATTTTAAATGAGTATTCTGGTAGAAAGAACTGCCATGCTTATATGAAATTTAACATGGATAGTATCACTGCTTGCTTTTTGTTTCTGAGAGTCAGGAGGAACTGGCCACTGTGAGTGTTAGATTTTAGTGTTAACCTGGTGATTCTTGATTTGTATGGTGATAATTTTATTTTTGAAATATACTCACGACTAGGTCTTTGGGCATGACATGATAATAGTACATCATTTTGGTATTTATTAACTGGAACTAGATTTGTGGTCTTTCACGTGCTGATTCTGCCACCTCATCAGGCAAATACATGGCTAAACAGATTAGTTTTGCACAGTGCTCTAAAAACTAGTCTGCTTGAGTTTTTATTGAGCCGAGAGGGGAAATGAATTTTCTATGCCTCTGTGGAGAATGTTCTGCCTCTAGGCTCCTGGAATTCAAACCTGGAGATGGTTAACAGAAGTATACTGGCTGATTTCATCTAATACAGAGCTACACAGAGGAAGTATACTCTTTAAGGTTACTAGAATCTGACTCTGAGTTTTTCAGATTTTTAAAAAAACGTAGACGCTAAGGTACCCTTTGCTGGATCAGGGATGTGGGTGAGCAAATGTTTTGTTTTACTTCTCTTGTCCTTTGTGATCATAAGTGTATACACAGGCCTGTGCCGAGTTGCTTTAAAAAAGATTTTCATATAAAAGAAATAGCACCCAAGGGAAATAGGCTACAGAAGCGAAGGTATATTTATTTGTGTCCAGCACATTTCAATTACCGCATGTAGTGTGAGATTTTTCCTGAGTTATCAAGGGTTAGTGGGTTGATATTTTAACTATCCTTACCTTGCTGCAGAAGTATGTGTAATCTAATGCCTGTTGGCATGTAAAGCCAGGAAAAGGGAAAGAGGGCAAAGTGAGAGATTTAAGTTTATGAGTGTTTTTAGAATAGAAAAACATGACTTTTTTAGTTTTTAAAAAACACATCTGTTATTGCAAAGACCTTTACAACAATAAGAGCATGATATGACAGTAAGAATATAATCATTGTTTTGAAAGATATTCTGGCAAAATTAAATAGAAATTAGTTATTTTTGTTAAGGTGATCCAGCTGAACTTATTACCTTAAAAACCTAATTAAAGTTGAGGTTCTTTTGAAAAAGACTTTAGAAATCAGTAGGTATTCTCATTTGTGTCTTTAGTTTATCTTCTGCACCCTTTGGATATGTCTATTTTGCTCTGTGTTTTTTGAGTAAAATATTTATTTCAGAACATAAGCATTTTATTTGGTACATCTTAACAGCCAAAACACTTCTTCCAATGCAAATGTTTATTTTGGCAGCAGATGTTTCTAAAAGGAGACAAACATAACA